AGAGACGGAGTTGGAATGAGAATGTTTCCTGGACTTGAGAAGTCGAGGATTAGTAGCTGTCCACTATTGAAATCCTGCATGAACTAGAGATTGAAAGAGCTGACAGTTAAATCATAAATGGCATTGTTGAGCTTGTGCAGCAACTTGACATCTCTCATATCGTCTACTGTCTATGATGTGAAAAAGCTCATTTGTTTCTTTTCTCTTCTTTTTTTTGCCTTCTTTTAGGAAACTTCTTTATAATGTCTTTGTAATAGACCACACACCCACACTTCCACTGTGGAAATCAGTAAGTGAGAGGAAGTTTTCACGCGTTCCTATCATATCTCTGGACTCTGGAGCATGCACTATCCAGATACCAAGGTTTGTTTTCTCCTCTCACTTTCACCTTCAAAAGGATTATTTAGTTTAATCCTTTTTCTTGCAATTATTGGACATAAAAAATGCAGAGTTATCAGTGAATCGCATCTGTGCTTTCCTTTCAGCATTTTGCTCTTCCACATTTAAACAAATTGTTCTATTTATCCTTCATCAGGTGAGGAATATCTATAGTATGTCTTTTAAAATATGGTTTAATTGTGAAAGTTTTTTTTTTTTTTCTCATAGTTGACTAGGTCCAAGGTCATGCTAGAACGTTGTTATGGCATACTGGCATATCAAGTCAAAGTCCATGGGCGACAATAACTTTAGGTACATTTTCATTTAGACTTGTTAAAGGATTGCTATAACAAGTTTGTCTAAGTTATTTTTGCACTTCTTTTATTTTCACGACACAATTTTACTGTTTAACAAGGTTGGTTATCTTCGACGGAGGAACCACCACGTTTGTTTTATTGAAGAACAGAATCTTCGGCCATTAAATCATTACTGGACTCTTTCATGAGTATTTGGTAAAGACTACATAATCTCTCAACATTAAATAAGTAATGATTATCGAGTATATATACATATTTGCCTAAGTGAAACTATTTTTCTGTTGTCTCTTTTGATAAAATAAATAACTTTTCCTACAATTTGATTAAAATAAAAGAACAAGTAATTCATGATTCAAGTATTTTTTATAGAATGAGTAGTTCAACCAGCTAATTCCCTGTCTTCTAATGAAACTTTGGTTAGTTGTTGCAAATTTAACAGTTTTGAAAGGCAATATTGTGTTGGTTTGCAAGCAGATTTTGGAAGTAAGCTGTTCGGAAGAGCCTACATTAGCTTCAGTTGATTTGGTGCTTTTCTCCATATAGTTCTTCTTTGCTTTTCTTTTGCCAGAGCTTCGATCCATAATAATCGATGATAGGAGTGTGTATTGCATTCTCATGATTAAATTCCACCTACATTAGCTTCAGTATCCGCTGCAAAGGACATAGGACTTAAATGGACTGACCAGTTTGAGGGGTATTTGTCCATTAGGTTGAAGGATTCTCTATTCTGCATAATGAACCAAGATTTCCACATAAGCTTCAACATAACAGTTATATCATAAAATTGTACTGAAAGGAGAAATGAGTTTTCCTTTGGTTTGTACACATGGAATGATGGAGTCCATGTGGTTCGACGTCCAATAGCTGTATCATCCGTGTAATTATATCATGCATTTGTTAATATATAAGTGCCAAAAATATTATATGAATGTGTAACTAGAGCACGCTGTTATGAAATTTCAAACAAAAACTGTTAAGTTCCTTACAATAATTGAAACTGCATTTCTTGCTCACGCAGATGATCGGATTTGTACTATGCAGAATAAAGAAATAATTATATATCTTGTTGCAATATACATCTTTGTAATGATACATGTTAATTGATTAAGTTAAGCTTATTAGAGTACGCTAAAGATATCCATCAGAAGAAGTGTATTTATATCTATATATGCTGCAGTTTAGGAAACTCATCGTTACTAGCAATGAAAAAGTAAATATATGACTAGGAAGGTACATGTTTAACTCATCGCTACAATTTCAATATGTGTAACTCACACTGCAAAGAAATTTCTGCAAAACTAGTGGTCCATGGACAAGGATGTTCTGAAGTTCTCCGCAAGATTTGCAAAGGATAGACAAGAAGACTACGTGAGGTTCCATCAAATTTCCAGACACTGATCATTCAGTGGTCCCGTGAAAGAGTAGACTAATTTTGTATTTCATAGAAGTTGGATTCTAGTAAATTAGAAATTTCCTGCATCCACTTCTAACAATTTTCCAAGATACTATTATTTATTGTACGTATGAGTATCGTATCACTATAAAACCCTTCATACTGACAGAAAACAAATCAATATAATACAAGTCATCCAAAATGAAGAACTATCTTATAACTGTATTTCTCTTTTCCCTCTTCCTAATTATGAGCCTTGGTGACTTTGTTTCATGTACTGAAGAAACAAAGGTATATATAGTGTACCTTGGAGAGCACAATGGAGACGAGACTTCGAAAGAAATAGAAGATCACCACTGTTCATTTCTTCATTCTGTCAAGGGTACTACTTCTAAAGAAGATGTTAGAACATCGCTTGTTCAAAGCTATAAGAACGTCATCAATGGCTTTTCCGCTTTGTTAACACCACAAGAAGCTGAGATGATATCAGGTATGACATATGAAGTTATAGTTTAAGTTGTTTGAGACAGCAAACTGATGTAACTTAATTATATTATGTCTTAACATGCGATCACGTGTGAGCCTGATTCTTTTTATGATCAAACACGTAATTTTTTTACTTTCTGTGTGGCAGTGAATTGCTTAATTATATTACGTCTCAAGTCGTTGTGTTGGTTACTTCCTTTTGTTTCTGATCAGTGTAATTTTTATTTTTAAAAAACAGGGATGGAAGGGGTAATATCAGTATTTCACAGTGATCCTAATACAATAAAGCCTCATACTACAAGATCATGGGACTTTGTGAGCTTACTGGAAGGAACTTCACTGATAAATGCTGGAGAAGAATTGCCACAAAATGGAAATTATGGAGAAGATATCATTGTTGGGGTTATAGACACTGGTAAGAGCTTTTCTCTTTTTGTTTTTTTTTTAAAAAACATTTTAATATACTCCCTCTGTCCCATTTTAGGGGGTCGTTTGGTAGGGTGAATCAGGAGAAATAGTCCGTGTATTATGTATGGTATTATTCAGTGGGAAAAGACATAAATCCTCCCTGAACTTGTTTCGAAAAGTCAGTTACACTCTTACTCTTCATCTTTTTTTTTTACAGGGGTGTGGCCAGAATCTTCAAGTTTCAATGATAAAGGAATGGGGCCAGTTCCAAAGTCATGGAATGGAACTTGCCAAGAAGGTGTTGCCTTCAACGCCTCTCATTGCAACAGGTTGAAATGATTTAATTTCATCCCTTATTTTTGCTTTCAATTTAACTTATATATACTGACAGTCAACAAGGTAACACTTATGTTCTTTTCTGTTGTTGTTGTTGTGTTTTGAAAGGAAATTAATTGGAGCACAATACTATTTAAAAGGTTACGAAGCACACTATGGTCCTCTTAACAAGACAAGGGACTTTCGATCACCTAGAGATGTAAACGGTCATGGTACTCACGTTGCAGCCACAGTGGGTGGTCGAAGAGTTGCAAATGCATCAGCAATTGGTGGATTTGCAAAGGGTACAGCTACTGGAGGTGCACCAAATGTTCGTCTCGCAATCTATAAAGTATGTTGGCCAGTTCCAAATAAGACCTCAGCTCAGGGAACTGCATGCCTTCCAGATGACATTCTTACTGCTTTTGATGATGCCATAGCTAATGGAGTTCATGTACTTAGTATTTCTCTAGGGTCTCTACCTATAAAAACATATTACACACAGAATTCTATTGCAATTGGATCTTTGAATGCTGTGAAGAGAAATATTGTAGTAGCTTGTAGTGCTGGCAATAGTGGCCCAACACCATCTACTGTTGAAAATGTAGCACCATGGATTATCACAGTTGGTGCTAGTAGTATCGATCGAGTTTTTTCATCTCCAATTATGCTCGGAAATGGAATCATCGTCGAGGTAAGAACATATTCAGATTCACTTGTAAATCATCCGAGTTTAAATAAAGGGAAAAAGGCATGATATACCTCTCAAGTCTCAACTTTGTTACTTAGAGTTAATATACCCTCATTATGAAACATGCTCATATATACTCTACTGTTACACAAATAGCTCACATAGTGAGAAAAATATACAAGATGTTAGACAAAACATATGTTATTTCCTGTATTCAGATTAGCAAACCAGAAATAAGAAAAAATGAAAAGAAAAACACAAAGAACTATCCGAGTCCACAGAACCCACTGTGTGTCCTTAAGAAATTTAATCCTCTCAAGCATCCGAGGTTGCAGATTAATTCCTTCCAAGATAAAATGGATTAACCATTAAGAGAAGTAGCGGTACCTCAAACTTCGATAATTTCAACGAATTCAAAATGACAGCAACGAATCACACACACAGACACGATCGATCGATTTTGTTTTGTAAGAAATGTATGCAAAAGAAGGGAAGAATTCGATGCAGAAAAATGAGAGAAAACCTCTCTATTTATAGCCAACAAAGGGTAAAGGTCACAACCCTTTGGAAAGAAGACAACCTTTCAGAAAGAAAACAGTCTTTCAGAAAGGTCACAATACTTTGGAAAAGTATTTCGAATCAATTTGAAATGCGGTGTGAATTAAGCATCGATGTAAATTAGATAATTGAATATTTAAAGAATATATATAAAATGGATAAATTTTTAATTAGAAACCATTTAAAATCTGTAAATAAGAGATTATTTATAGCATTTTCTCGAAGAAATAGAGTAGTTTCTATTTTTCATATTGTGGAATTAAAAGAAAGACTTTGACTTTTTGAACCAAAGAGAGTTTTCATCAAATTTCAAAATTAATTAACGAGATATTTCATACCACTTGAACAAATTGATATTGTATCGAAGGATAACAAAATAAAGAAAAAGAAAGAGAGAAATTTTGACTTTGGTAAAGAAGGAAGAAGACGACTGAGCGTAGAAGCAAACCCAACAATGGCAGATCCAGTAATTGGTGCTACAGTTCAAGTTGTGCTTGAGAAACTGCTTTCTCTCACTATTGAGAAAGTCAGTAGCTCAAGGGACTGCAACAAACATCTCAGAATGCTCACACAAAATGTATCCATCATTCAAGCTTTCATTAATGATGCTGAAAGACGACAAGTTGACGATCACGCTGTAGAAAAATGGCTGAAAATGCTTGAAAGAGTTGCTGAAAGTGCTGAAAATGTGTTCGACGAATTCACATATGAATCTCTCAAAGCACAAGTGATGCAGATCCGAAATAGCCCTATGAGAAAGGTCAGTGATTTCATTTCTCATACAGCTTTTAAGAGTAAAATGTCTCGAAAAATCAAAAACATCAATGAAGAGTTGAGGGTTATCAATCAGTTAGCCAAAGACCTCGGTCTCCAATCACTAATTGTTTCGTCTCAGCAAATACTACCGTTTCGAGAAACAGATTCCTTAGTAGTTGCTTCGGATGTCGTTGGTAGAGACAACGATGTTGCTGAAATAAAGGAGAAGATGTTGAACATGAGAGACGAAGTTGTTCTGTGCACCATTCCCGTAGTGGGGATGGGAGGTTTAGGGAAAACTACTGTAGCTAAGAGAATTTTCAATGATGAAGAGATCGAAAAACATTTTGAGAAGAGAGTGTGGTTGTGTCTACCTGAAATGTCAGAGACCAAGAGCTTTCTTGAACAGATCCTCCAATCATTGACAGAGAGGAAACTTGAGGTCCAGACCAGGGATATAATAGTCAAGAAACTCCGAGATGAACTAGGTGGAAAAAGGTATTTGCTTGTCTTAGATGATTTGTGGCGTGTTGACCTTCCGATATGGGATGAGTTCGTGGATAGCTTGAGAGGAGTAAACACTTCTAGAGGAAATTGCATTCTCGTGACTACTCGCATGAAACAAGTGGCATCCACTGTAGCGGTAGATATTCGTATGTTGGGAAAGTTAACAAAAGATCATTGTTGGTCCATTTTCAAACAAAGAGCATTTGTTGATGGGGAGGTTCCAGAAGAAATGGTGAACATGGAAAGCAGGATTGTTGAAATATGTCAAGGTCTACCATTGGCTGTAAGTGTGTTGGGAGGCCTTTTACGCAACAAGGAAAGACATGAATGGCAGGCAATTCTTGATTGCAATCCCCTTGTTGTAGGTGAAGGTGATAATGGGGAAAATAGGATAATGAAAATTCTAAAACTCAGCTATGATTATCTACCATCCCCACATCTGAAAAAATGTTTTGCTTACTTTGCAATGTTTCCAAAAGATTTTAAGTTTGAAAAAGACCAACTAATCCAACTCTGGATGGCAGAAGGGTTTCTTCGTCCATGTCAAGAGACCCCTGTGATGGAAGACGTTGGGAACAAGTTTTTTCAGCTTTTGTTGCAAAATTCATTGCTGCAAGATGTTAATCTAGATGAGCACAACAATATAACACACTATAAGATGCATGATCTTGTGCATGATTTGGCTGCAGATATATTCAAATCTAAACTTTTTGATTCCAAGAGCGTTGGAGGAGAAAATCTTTCTCAAGTTCGATACTTTGGATGGGACTCACCAAGTGATCAAATAGATAAGATAATTGAGCCAGGACGATTGAGCACATTGTTCTCGAGAAGCAATCATATATCTAATGATATGCTGCTGAGCTTTCAGTTCTTGAGAGTTTTAAATTTGTCCAGTTCAGGCATTGAGGAGTTGTCAGCCTCAATCGGCAAGCTAATATACTTGAGATATCTTGATCTCTCAAACACAAACATCAAAGCCTTGCCCAACTCCATTTGCAAGCTCTACAATTTGCAAACATTTAGAGTCAATTACTGTTGTTCACTCATGGAGTTTCCAGATAAGATGGGAAATATGATAAGTTTGAAACACATATATTACAGATCCAATTATCCTACTTGGAGATCATGGTGTATTATTAATGAGCATTTTCAGATGCCACTTAACATGCGACAATTGACTTGTCTTCAAACCCTGCAGTTTTTCAAGGTCGGTTTAGAGAAAGGTCGTCGAATAGAAGAATTAGGTCATTTGAAAAACCTAAGAGGTGAATTGATGATCAACAATCTGCAACTGGTCCGTAATAGAAAAGAAGCTGGAAGAGCATATCTACAGGAGAAACCAAATATATGCAAGCTGGCATATTTATGGTCCGATGATGAATCAGAAGACCGTGAGATCAATGATGAATATGTTTTGGATGGCCTTCAACCGCATCCTAACTTGAAAACCTTAGTGGTGGTGAATTATTTGGGGACTAGATTTCCATCATGGTTCAGTGAAGAATCTCTAACAAATTTGGTCAAGTTGAAATTAAGTGGATGCAAAAGGTGCAAGGAAATTCCATCGCTTGGCCAACTCAAACTCCTTCAGCATCTTGAGCTGATAGGATTCCATGAGTTGGAATGTATTGGACCTACATTTTATGGTGTTGAAGTTAACAATAATGGATCGAGCAACAATAACACCAATATCCAAGTGTTCCCGTTACTCAAAGAACTAGTGTTGAGGAATATGAGTAGCCTTACTGAATGGAAGGAAGTGCAATTGTTACCAACAGGAAATCATGGTAGAGACGGAGTTGGAGTAAGAATATTTCCTGCGCTGGAGAAGTTGAGGATTAGTAGCTGTCCACTGTTAAAAAGTACTCCAAATCAATTTGAAATCCTGCATGAAGTAGCGATTGAAAGAGTTAACAGTGAAATGCCGTTGTTGAACTTGTGCAGCAACTTGACATCTCTCGTAGATCTTATTGTGGATGATGTGAAAGAGCTCACTTGTTTTCCAGATGAGATGCTACATAACAATGTTTCTCTTGAACATCTACGGGTCTTAAATTGCAGAGAGTTTCGTGAATTGCCACAAAGTTTATACAACCTCCGTTCTCTTAAGAGCTTAAGGATTGAGCGCTGCAACAATTTCAGTTCCTTTCCTGTTCCCAGTGGAGAGAATCATTTTACTTCGCTCCGAAGTCTTGAGTTATCCAATTGTGATGGCTTAACCAGTTTACCAAGTGAAATGCTAGAGCGTTGTCGGTCTTTGGAATCTTTGAAGGTCAACAAATGTAACAACTTAGTTTCCTTCCCTTTACATGTGTGGGAAATGCCTTCTCTTTCATATTTGAATATATCAAAATGCCTCAAATTGGATAGTGTACCTGCACGGGGCCTTCACCGTCTCACTGGATTACAGGAATTGTGCATTGGACCTTTCTCAGAGATGATGGATTTTGAGGCATTCCAATTGATATTTAGTGGCATTCAGCAGCTATCGTCCCTTCCTAAATTAGAGGTGTATGGGAATAGGCAATGGGATTCTCTGCCCTATCAGCTTATGCAACTTTCTTCCCTAACAGAGATCGGAATAAATGATTTTGGAATCAAAACTCTTCCTGATAGATTTGGAAATCTTACTTCTCTTGAAACATTAGAGCTAGTGAGGTGCAGACGACTACAACATCTGGACTTCTTAGATGCCATGCCCAAATTACGACATCTGGAGATCCGTGATTGTCCATCATTAGAAGCTCTGTTGGATGGGCTTGTCAACCTTGTTTCTTTGCAAGAGTTAACTTTATGGTTCTGCAGAAAACTACAGCATCTGCCATCCAGAGATGCCATGCTACGCCTCACCAAATTACGGTACCTTAGAATTAGAGGCTGCCCACAGTTAGAAAAAAGTTGCAGCAATAAAAATGGCACAAACTCCCAATGGTCCAACATTTGCCATATTCCATATATTGAACTAGGTGGGACGACAATTCAGGACTTAAGTAAGTCTCTAGTTCAGAAATGAGAAAATTTACTTGTTTTTTGAAGTTATATTTATGCACACTGACAATAAGTAATTCAACTGGTGCTCTCAACAATAACTCATTTGCTCTAAAGTTTATTTCCTTTTGCAGATTAAGTTTTACTACAAGGGCAAAGAGGTCATCCCCGTTCCGGCCTTGTTTGGGCACTGAAAAACCTTTTCCGGGAACTGAAGTCTACATATGAAACATCAAAAAACTCAACGCGTCTAGGGTGCTCGATGAGAATCTACACAGGTCTATCCTCTGTCTTTGCATGGCCATGTTTGCCTTTTTATTCTCCATTTAAGTTTTTGTACTAGATAAAGTTCCTTGACCACATGTAAAATTTTCTGTCATTTTCCCCCTTGTATATGTGACATTTGCTACTAAACTATGAACTCTTTGAACAATAAAATCCACATATTGAATCTTGCTAAATTTATTCAAAGGTGATTTATACAGATAAAAAGGAATCGAGAAATAGTATAGCAAGTCTTTTCACTTTTTTCTTGCATTTATTTCTGAATCGATGTCGAACTAGATGCACTACATTTTATTTTTGCCACCACTCATATAACTTTTCATATTGTGCATTAGGTCTTGGTAATTCCTGGGAGTTGAAATAGAAGCCATCCTCTTGTACCTTCAAAGTTCCAATAGCATCTATGCATAAAAGAAACCAAATAACTCTTTCTTCCTAGACCGCATTTATCAGCTATTTTATCAATAAAAATACCATGACTCGTATCATAAGAGTTCCAATAAAAATGGCAGAAGTATAATGTTCCGCCAAAAAGATGTTCATTTATATGAAATTTGAACTCTTCATTTGGGTGGAGTACTTTATTACCAAAATCATCGTCTACAAATTTATAATAAAATTTTAGAGAATTAGAATTAGTTGGAATGGTGTTGATAATATGGACTTCAAATCTAGGTGTCCACCAATAAGATCCAAGTGTCGAAGTCAACGAAGAATTTTTATAGTAACAAAATCAAGTACAAAGATGAATGAGAAAAAAAAGAATTTTGTTCTTGAAAGAATTCATATTTGATTCTTGAAATGATTGTATCTTCTTATTGACTAATTATATATACCCTGAAAAAGAAAACTCAAAATCCGACCACATTAATTTTTGCTGATGAATTTGGTAAAATCACATAAATCTAATTTTGTCTACTCCATTTACTATGTTTGATCATAGGATTTGAGACTCAATTTCAAGTTTTTATTTGAAATTGATATTTTTCTGTAAAATTTGCATAAAAATTATAGAATTAGAACTTGGAATAAAGACTTTTTTTTTTTTTTTTGAAGTTTAACTTTTTTTTTTAAAACATAAAAAAAATATCAATAGGGATAAGTACAAGTAAGGGGGATTATGTCTTACCTTACTAATCCTAATAAAATACCTTACTTCTGCTACCTAACAAGCATGAAGAAAATAAGAACTAGATAGAACTAAGTATTTTCTGATCACCACAGAGTTTGTAATACACTCAATGATGATATTACAAATAAGGATGCTTAAATAATGTAAAAATATGTCAATCAACAAGAAAGTTGAGTTATCAACCTCAAATTTTCTATTACAAAAGCATGCATTAAAAAAGATTGATTATCCATCAAAAGTAACTTGAAGTAATTTTCTCTTGTCTTCTTCTTCAAACCTATCCAACAACACTTGATAATTCATACCTTCTTTTTGGTTTTATTGGATCTTGTTGAACCTATTGATACTGTCAAATGATTCTGTTTTGCCTGTCGCATAATGACTATTTTGAATGTCCATCTTTTTTTTTAACAAACATATTCATCTAAATTCTAAGTTTTAAATACCAAGACTTTTGATATTTAACGTCTTCCGTTATATGACAGTCACTTCATATATATATATATATATATATATATATATATATATATTACAAACTCTAATATTGTCAATTTGTAATGACATATTTAAGATTGGTCAATCTCAATCTACCTATTCAAATGACTCTATTGTCCATTTGTCATAGTAGGAAAAATTCAGTTATCGCTACATATTGACAAAAAAACATTATGACTTTATTGTTGTACTAGATAAAGTTTCTTGACACACGTAAAACTTTCTTTTTTCATTTTCCCACTTATATATATGAGACATTTGCTACTAAGCTATGAAATCTTCGAGTATAAAATAAAATAAATATATTAGAGAGAAGGCGGAGCTATCATAATTTTGAAGTATCGCTAAATTTAAAACAAAGGTAATTATATAGTCAAAAAGGAATCGAGAAATAGTATCGCAAATCATTTCACTTCTTTCTTGCATTTATTTGTGTATCGATATTGAAGTAGATGATGCACTACATTTTACTTGTCATCACCACCCATATATTTTTGAATATTGTTTATCAGGTTGTGGTAATTCCTGAGAGTTAAAATAAAAGCCATCCTCTTGTATCTTCCAATAGCATCCATAGATAAAAGTAAATGAATAACTCTTACTTTCCAAACCACATTTATCAGCTATTTTATCATTAAAAATATCATGACTCGTATTTTTAGAGTCCCAATAAAAATGACAAAAGTATAATGTTCCGCCCAAAAAATGTTCATTAAAATGAAATTCCATCTCTTGATTTGTATAGAGCACTCTATCACCAAGATCATCATCTGCAGATTTACAACGAAGTTTTAGAGGATTTGAATTAGTAGGGAGGGTGTTGTTGATATGGACTTCAAATCTAGGCGTCCACCAATAAGATTGAGTTTTGTAGGCAACGGAGAACTCTTTATAGTAACAAGATTAAGTAAAAAGATGAATGAGAAGTAAAGAATTTTGTGCTTAAAAGAACTCATATTTGATTTTTGAAAAATGTTTTTATCTATTCTTGACTAATGTAAGTGTAAAATCATGTTATTATTTTATTATATATACGTGAAATGAAAGCTGAAAAGACGTCCACATTCATTTTTGCTGAGTTCTTGGTAAAGATCATATGCATCTAGTTTTGTCTACTCTATTTTCTAGGCATTTGACCACAGAATTTGACTATTTGAGACTCATTTTCAAATTTTAATTTGAAATTACTAGTCTTTTCTATAAAAATTGCATAAAATTTCAACATTAATTTCATATACCAATTTTTTCAAAGAGTAGGATTTCAAATCTCATATTGTGATTTTCCATTTTTTTTAAATGTAAAACTTGATTCATAAGTTTATATTTTGTTAAAAAGATCCATCATTTAAATTTTGCAAAAAAAAAGACTCATGCTTTACCTGAATTCGCTTTTCCATTTTGTCATAGATAATAAATTAAAAGTTGAAAAATTGAATTTGTATTTGGACATTCCTTTCACCTGAATTTTGATTCTTGGGCAAATTGAAAGATCAAACATGGTTTCCAGTCTTAATTTCTTTTTTCGGAAAATGATTAAAATTACTCTTGAACTATGTAAAATAGATCATTTATACCATTCGTTACATTTTTGGATCAAAAATGTCTCCACCGTTATCCTAAGAGAACACAAATACCCTTAAGAGTTAACAACCTAAATTTTTAGTGACGGGCAAGCCACATGAGACTAATCCCTCCACCTAAGCGTTGCCAACTAGTATTCCCCATAAAAAACTAAATCTTTAGCGGTGATAAAAGTCGGCAAAAATTCCCAAAATATTGCCACTAAAAGTTTTGAGTGATTTTTAGCGGTGACTAAAGTTGCAATAGTCATTCTCCAGTAAAATCAATTTTTTCAACAAAAAAATATGATAATTGATTTTCGGTTACAACCTAATCTTCTAAAATCAATAGCATGTACTATCAATATTAAAAAACATCCAATGTTATTACGAACAACACCAAAATTACTTCTCGACTCAAATTTTCTACTACGCAATGCATTATTGTACAGTTTATGCATTTACGTATGACATAAAAATAAAACATATGATATCTTCAAACTCCTCCTTGATCAATGTCATATGTAATTTTTTTAAAAACAATGAAGAAAAAAAACATAAAATCATAATCTAACGCTAAAATCAACGAAAATCTTTACTAGTGATATTCTGGGCTTTTGTGGCTACTTTTATCGCCACTAAAGGTGTACTTTTTGATAGTGAATCCTAGTTGACAAAGCTTGGTGGAGGGAGTAGTTCCACTTGACTTGTCACGTCACTAAAAATTTAGATTATTAGCTCTTGAGGATATATGTGGTCTTTTAGGATAACGATGAAGGTATTTTTTATCCCAAAATATAATAAAGGATATAAATAGTCTATTTCACATAGTTAAAAACAATTTTGACCCTTTTTCTTTTTTTTGGTTAGCTGCGATGGAAACTCCTAAGACTATACTGATCAAAGCAAATTGAAAGAGAATTAGTTAATTTCCCCGAATTCCTTGTTAAGCATATTCTCAAATTCTATATATTCCAATTTATGTGATATATTTTTTCTTTTTAGTCTTTCCTAAAAAAGAAATATCACTTTTTAATAATTAGAAAAAATGTAACTTTAAAATTCTTCTTTTACCCTTAATGAAATGATTTATTTATAATCACAAAAATATCTAAGATTTATTTTAGACCACAAATTTTTTTTTAAAAATCTTTAAATTTTATATCAAGTCAGATGGTGCCACAAATTAGAACGGAAGAAGTAACAAGAAAAGAACAAATGGATTTTGAAATATTCATCTTTGATTTTCCTAATTAAATTCTTCCTTCTTTATTTTACAAAATTTGACCAGTTTGGAAATTCTACTGAATATAACCATATGAGCTTAAAATTAAACAATTGAATATATTTTATGGTGAGCCCTTGTTACTAGTTAGAGAGAATCACGGTGTATATGAGTTTAAAGCAAACAAATGATAGTATACTGTGTATACACTTGTGTAGAAAGTACGAAATGGATTCCAAAAGTACAAAGGTGAATAAGAAGAAAAATATTTTTTCCTTGAAAGAATTCATATTTGATACTCCATCCGTCCACTTTTAATTGTCATATTGTGTTTTTCAAAAGTTAAATTAGATTACATTATTAATTCAATATTTTGAACAAAAAAATAGATATTCAAAAACTATATGAAAAGTACTATAAATTGCAATTTTTTGCATATCAATATGATGAAAAAATACATCGTAAAATGTCAATCAAAGTTTTTATCGTTTGATTCTAAAAAAGAAAATCACGACAGTTA